ATTCCAAATTCTAAAATATTGAATTTAAAATGATTCTGCTTTCATTCCAGGCCTTCACCAATATGGCAAGTCAGCCCAGCAGCTCAAAATGCAACAGCTTCTTCACGCATTGAGACATTAGCAGAATCCAAATCCTTACATCGTGATTATCAACCATGTAAACAAGTACAGAGTGTAGTTAGTGATGCGGCAATGTCTGCAGAAGCCACAGACAAATTAGAACAGCTGTCAAAGCCAAAAACGTTTGCCCCTTTAAAAATAAAAGATAATAGTGATTGGGATTGGAGTGAATGGCAACCAGACTTATCTGAAGCTGCTAAAAAAGCCACAGCATCTGAAAGAGTTGTAGTGCTGGCAAACCCTAAAAACCCTCATAGGAATTATAAAGAAGGCAGACCTGTGATTTGGGAGGTTCCAGAATCTGCAAAAAAGGCATTGCCATCTTTGAGAATACAACAATTAGCAAGACCCAAAAGCCGAAGTAAATACAGCGAAGATTATGATGGTAATGCTTGGAAAGTGTCACCAGGAGCAAAGAATGCACAAGCTACACCTAGAATAGCTCAATTAGCTGCACCTCTGGAGAGAAAAGTTAGAGCCAAAAAAGTTGTTTGAATGATTCTAAAATAATTGAATTAAATATTGAATTCTTGTGTTGCTGTGATGTAAAATATAATTTTTCAAATGGAATTTCAAAACACAAACTTGTATTATCAAAATTTTTTCTTAATAAACCTGCACAATATAATATGATGCAATTTTGTCAATAATAAAAATTTTGTATAATATAATTTATACGAACAAGGTGTATCAAAATGAAGGTCGGGAGATATGAATGTGTTTTGTGTTGAGAAAAGCTGAAAGCCATGCAGACTAAGGTTGTCTTTTCATGTGTGTTCATCAAGTTAGTGTGCAGATGCATTAATCGGGACAACTTAAATAAAAATGACCAATCGAATAACAGTAAATTATATAGAGATTGGACTGATAACAGTCTTAGCCAATCAGATTATTACGCTCTTTTGATATTGATGAGCTATCTGATTGGCTGATTTAAAATATTGCACTAAATGTTGCAATATGATTGGTTATAGTGATAGTAGTACTCCCAGTTGGAGTATCCACACAGTAATGGGCGGATCCAGGAATCAAAGAAAGGATGGGCGGAAAACACCTTAAGGGCTGGAATTATGGGAGGGGGGTTGGTAATACATGAAAAGAAACTTAAATAGTCGTAAGAACTTGATAAAAATTGCAAAAACTTACAGTCTTACAGTCCCGAAAGAAAATACTTGTGACAATACTTAACTAATGCCTGCATGCTTGTTTAGTGGTGCACTGGGGGGGGAGGGGTGAGTCATCAATTTTTGTGCAAATAGACTGACAGAGCCACATATATTAGTGCAATGATTATTATTGCACCAATCTGGGAGTGTGAAAAAGATTTGCATCTCAAAGGTGTTCCATTCCATTCATTTTGATTCAAAATGTATTTTCTTGAAGATCCCGTRCCCCTCTCGCTCAGTAGAGTTTCTCTGGGATCCCCCGTTAGTAAAGTTTTGTCGCTGATATTATCTCAAGTAAGCTCTCATGTGATTGGTTGGTTTGAGTYCTTGTGTTTATCAGCCAATCAGAGATGAGCAGGTTGGTAGAGRACCAACGTAGTATTTACCAATATGGCGGAAGAAGAAGAGAAAAAGGACAAAACATCGTCAAACAGCTACTCCGATTCAGCCGGAGAAACAATTAAGTAAGTCCAAAACTACCCCCTAACCTTCATTAATCTATATTCTAGGTACTTGACTGGTTATCTTGTGTTSTAGACACATCGATCGCTTGGTATTGCTTCATTTTTTCGTCGTCTTCGTCTCAAGTTTCGCCCTTGGTTTGCTGTTTCTTCAYTCTTCGCTAACTTTTTGGAGAACACAGGTCAGTCTGAACTTCAATATTTGTGACATATTTTAACTATAATACCGTAAACTATAGATGATACTCTATTCATACCATATTTTCGTTTATCTTTACTTAAAATAAATTCAAAAAGCTTGCAAACGAAAATCAAGACTAAAACTTTTCACTATCGCAAGTTTTTTTAGCTACAAAGTTCCTCATTTTGACAATATTTTAACACCTTTTCCGAATCCTTTATATATTATTCTTTGTACAACTGTTAGATCTTTTATTTTTATCATTTCTTAAGCCGTAAAAACGAAAGAGTAGTGATATTATAGCGGTTTCGCTTGACTGAAATCCCTGTTCTAAGTAAATAAGATTAGCTTACATCATTTTGTCGTATTCAGCTTATATTGAAATTTAGGTTAAATATTTTTCCTAGTGTACTAGAAGAGGACAAAAATTAAATATCTTATAGATTTTATCGCTTTTAACTTGTCTTTGAAGTTTTAGAGATGTCAAAGCATTTTTTATTTAATTTATTGAGTAGTGTTTGCAAGAGATCTTGAAACTATTGACTTAGATATACAATATATATAATACTGTAGTATACATAGCAGGCCAAAAAAGGTTACAGGATATAATTTTGCATTGGCACTCTGTCAATCAAATACAATAATATGCTGGTTATAAATCCCTTGGTCAAAAGGGCCATTGGTCTGCTAACACAAGACCTTCAAGTTATGATTGTACTGCCTGAAATTTTTCTATTGCATTTATTGTTAACGTTGTAACAATTTGTAACCATGTACACAAAACAGGAAGTTGTGAAGGGTGGATAGYGCTATCRGAGTGATAAATCTTATCCATTGGATAAATTATTTSATAACAGCATCTACTTATCCACTGGATAAGGATTTATCTGTTGGGTAGCACTATTCACCGTTCCTACATCCAGGCCCTGAAGTTTACGCAATAGCATTAAACACCATGTTTACAGTATTTACTGTAATATAATAAAAGCAAACTCAA